CTGGATATATTTATGGATGCAATTTTGATGTGCTTTTTTTTTGAAAATGACAAAAAACAAATTATTTGCCACCATTTTATTATTTTAAAAAATACTGAAATTTCTTTTCAAATAAAAACAAACAACAATTAATGAAATTGTTATAATAATAAATAATAATAAATCAAATTAATAAATAAATTTAATAAATAATTCGTTCTATAAATTTTTTGTTCGATACTTATTTAAATTATAAGTATACAGCAGGTAAATGCATAAACAAAACTAATTTAGTTTACAATTTAGATAAAATAGTATAGAAATTATCATCTTATCATTATCACCGTTAAGGGCACCGTTTAGAATCGAATTTATTGCCGAACATCTTATCAGTTGTTAAAATTTTATAGACATACCATGTTTACCTGATAAATTTATTGTGAAACGAAAAACGAATAATTTGAAAGTTTATATTATCTTATTTCGTTTCAGAATCAAATAAATAAAAAATGAAATTAAAAAATGTGAATAAGCGATTCAAGAAACTTATTAAGCCGAATGATTAACTTTTCAGGAGATTCTCGACGATTATTTTATCGATAAGCTCATGCCTAAGCCATAAGCATACGCCTAATACTTCAACATGATAATACACTCATTGGAAAAGAATTTGAAAAGACTATGATTCAAATAAATTATTTTAAAATAATTGTTAGAATTTTTAATTTAATAAAAAATTTTTAATTGAAATTCATTTAAAAAACCATTTTCTCTTTTCTTTTTTCGATCAATTCGCACCAATATCAATTTAGTTGGATCCACAGGTGACTTAGAATAAGACAATTCGAAGACAATTCCCGACAAACTACTTTTTATGCAAAAACTATTACCAGTTATATTATTATTACCAGTTATATTATTATATTTTTGTATATTTCATTAAATTTTTTTTAATTAAAAAAAAAAGAAGAGAGAAAAAAGCTTTCCAATATAATTGATATTTATATATTAAATTTTTCAGTGAAAATACTTTTTGATAAATTTCTTATATTTGGCAACTTTCTTGTGCTCAAAACTGAAATAATTCATACGATTTATCATTTTCGATTACTATCGATTATACGAAAAGACCCGTTTAATTGAAATTATTCTATGTAAACAAATTCCATCCAACGAATTTCCAGTAACAGCAAATTTAGTTATTCGTTGGCTATAGCGAATATAATAATCTTTTATAAATATTTCTTAACATATTATATAAAAATTTAAATAAATTTTTATTATTATTGTCTTCCATTATTATTAAATAATTTAATTTAATAAGTATAATAATATAAATATAATATAATACAATACCATAAAATCTATGGAATATGTATATATATATATATATATTTCACTTATTTAAGAGTAGAAGAAAATAAAGAAATCAAAAAAATCAAGAACAATGATTGGTTATTATCAAGATAAACCAATAAGCAGCTAATCAAGGAAACTGTGATAGTAAATTGACCGTCACCACTTGATTTTTTAATAGTTTATTCCTACATCGTGAATCAACTGATAAGCCATGATAAGCCATCGAGATGATTATCTAAGCAATAATCACTCTATATATCAAAATATATCAGTGAATATCAGTTCTATCAATTCAAAAGGGAAAAGTTCAATTCATTTATTTAATCGTTTTATTGAGACAAAGTTGAAAATCTATCAATCACAAACAAAAAACTTGAGGAAAGGTAGCCAAGTGGATAGACTCGTTCAGTTTTGTTATATTGAGAGGCAAAAATTCACGTCCTAAATAAAATAAGGATTTTTCCTTAAAAAATCTGAAAAATACTAGAAATCCATTTGATTTTCACCAGTCGATTTCCTAAGAAAAATTTCTAATTTATCAATAGAATTCAACAAAAATAGTGAAAACTTATCACTAATTCTTGGAAAAATAATTGAATCTATTCGTTTATAGTGAATGAAACGAAAATAATTTTTCTTTTAGAAATCGACTTTTTCAACAAAATGAAACAAATTTACTTTCTAAACTACTTTCTTTCGCTATAAGAATTTCTTTCTAAAATTCTCTCTAAGAATTCTAAAATTTTTAAAATAGAAATGCAAATGTTATTATGAAATTTTACTAAAAACTTTTCACAACGAAAACTTCAAAATGCGTTGATAAGAAGCGAATTTTATGAAGGAATGACGAAAAGAAAATACAGTAAACAGAAGGAGAAATTTTAAACAAATTTCATCAAATAGTGTAACTTTATTTTTAAATCATCAAAATTTCCAAAAATTTTCTTTTTCTTTAGAAAACAATTCACTAAAAATAGAAAATTTTTCGATTGAAAAAAAAAATTTTATTAATATTAATTTATAAAATAATAATAAATAAAATGCAATTTAAAAGAGAACATTTTTGATCATTTAAGTTAAGTTAAGCCGAATTCTTCTAATAATGATTATCAGTTAAGTGATATTCTTATCAGTTCGTTTCACTTTTCTTATATAAATTTTAAAAATAGCGCGCGAATGATATGTAGTTTCGCCCGAGGATAAGCATCTTGTCGCTTTGATTTTTGTCACTTTTGATTGTAGTAAACCGGTAATTAAAGTGAAAATACTACTATTACTAAGGATAAAATAAAAATTAAGCGTAAAAATAAAAATAAATTAAATTACATTCGAATGATCAAAACAAAATTGGACGAATAAAAAGATATTTATTTACAAAATGAATTCTTGAAATTTTCAAAATTATTCACCTAAAATTTCTATTATTAAATAACAATCGCCGAAAAGATAAATGGAAAAAATTTTATTTTATATAAAATTTAAGAATTTAAGAAAAATTAAAAAAAATTTAAGGATAATTTGTTCAAATAAATAGTTTAGCTTAATTTCGAAGAAGTTAAGACAGCTAAGTGATTATCGCTCATTGATTATCTCTGATCTCTGATTAGGCTTATTTTTAATGTGATAAGGAAACCTTTATCAGAGTCACTTGACGATAGATGGATCGCCATGACTGTTTATTTAAAAAAAAAAGAAAGCGATGAAGGGAAAATTTTAGAAGATCGATGATTAGCAACTTTAAAGTTGTTTTTTTTTTAGGATTCTTTTAATATTTTAATAAATTTCATAGAATCAAAAAAATATTTATTTATTTATTTTTTTTTTTAAAGAATTTATTTACACTTTTTCCGATTTTTCTCTCATTTTACGAATTTTAATATTTTAACGAATTTTTATTTTATTTTATTTTAATATTTTTTTGCGGCATTCAAGCAGAGTTTCATGGAATAAATCTACAAAAAAGACCTTCTTCAACGTATTTAAAGCATAAAGCACCTAAGGCTTAGGCTAAGGTTGATAATTTTTCGAATTTTTAAATAACTAAATGATAACTTTTATCATTTCAGATTTGGATGACTTTATTAAGAGATCTTTTTGCCATACAATAATTTGGCAAATTCCTTCTTCTTTCGCATTCCATAAATGAAAATGGCGAAATTCATTTCCTTTCTATCATCTAAACCAAAGCTAAGCAGGTTATGCGTTCAATATCTCTTTTGATAATATCAACCTGCATTGATAATATCAGTATAGCTTTTGATTAGTTGATATCACTGTACTTATTAATTTACGCTTTACATTGGTGAGAAAATTTGTGTGCTTAAACAAATATTACGATACATCACTGCATGAATCAATTTCTCCTTCTTCTTCTAAGATCTCTCACCATTACTAGTTAGGCAGACTCATCTGGCTACAAGAGTAAGACGTCTCCAAGCCGCTCGGTGCTCCGATGCTATCGCTATTAGTAATAGTTCTTTTTTTTTTTTGAATGAATCAACTAGAAATTAATGAATATATGTTCAAAAAGCTAAAAAATATTTTAATTCATTAAAAATTTTCGTAAAATGCCCCAAATATATTTGTAAAACTATCATTTCCAAATATATTTGACAAGTGGTACAATTCGTGCGGAAAGCTATCCGACGACCCAGTTAAATTCCTCTAAAAACCTGTTCCCAAACCTTAGCACATGCAAGACACATTTCATTGAAATTCATTATCTTATCAAACTTCACAACTTATTTTCGGTCAGGTTTAATCACTTATGCAAATATCCCACAAAATTTCTCCTCCACAATTTTCCATTCACTCAAATATTGGCAATATAAACGCCAAACGGAACCCCATTCTTCATAAGACATGGATGTTTTGTTATATGCCAATTTATGTTCTAACCATTCATCATTAAACTAAAACCATAAAATTTTCCATGACGAAAATCAAAAATTTTTTTGAGCCATAGCAATAAAAAAGGAGAAAAATTTCAAATAGACCCCGCTATTTTCTTTAAAAACCACTTTCACAATTTAAAAAAAACAAAAAAGATTGAGGAAATATGAGTATCAGTAGAAGTGCATATTTTATTTACGAACTGTCAGAAATATATAACATGAAAAAAGATATAGTATAGAAATTAGCATTTATTAAAACGGAAAAAAAATGACTGCGAAGGCAACATTGTATATAAACCATGAGCTATTTTAAAAAAAATTGCTCAAAAATAAAAGTACTAATGGCAAAACGAAACATCGAAAAGTATACCATTTTATTTTTTTAAAATGCATCAAATCTCAATCATTGACAACGATGCGCGGAGATTGAACATTGCTTCTGTGAAATTTAAGATTATCGTCCTAATACTGAAGTAATTCAATCCTGTTTAAGTGATAATCATCACATTATCATATACAATTAATTTAAAATAAACCATATTTAAAATAAAACATTTAAAGAAACAAATGTTCAATAAACTTAAAAGAATAATAAACTATTTGCCACTCGCAATGATTATTACTGACCATTTATTTTACGAAAATTAAGGGTGTCCATAACTTAAGAGACCCATAGCTTTGCTTGCTATATTTAAAACATTGATGACTCCAGCAGTCAATCAAGTGAACAGTTATAAAAAAGCATTAAATATTTTAGCATATGGCCGATTACAGGCTAGAGCAACATTGTTTTTTGGTCTGAGGCTCAGTGGTAGGTGATATAACGATGCCATTCGAGCCTGGAGGTGAAATCATCGATCTGTTATCCCCTCCCACATGCTTCACCGACACCGATTTATATATCTGCAAAAATATTACTTAAGAATACAAATAACCAGTGGATGAATAAATAATTTATTAAAAAAATCCATTTAACCTCTGTGAGAATATTTGTAAAAGCCGCTTCAACATTTGTACTATCCAAAGCCGATGTCTCGATGAAAGAAAGTTGATTCTTCTCAGCATAAGTTTTTGCTTCATCTGTTGGTACTGCTCTTAAGTGTCGTAAATCACTCTTGTTTCCAACCAGCATTATTACAATATTTTGATCAGCATGATCTCGTAATTCCTGTAGCAATGAAAGAGACACATATTTATTCATATATATTTATGTGGAAAATTCATCGTTACAATGGATGCAAAAAAAATTCGTATAAAATTTTTCACATTTTCCTATATTCACCCTCAGAGTGAAATAGAAGCTCAGTAAAATATCTGCAAAAAAAGTATACTTTAAGCCATCTTTCGACATTCTCATAAGTAATATGTTTAGCGATATCATAAACTAATAATGCACCAACAGCTCCTCTATAATAAGCCGAAGTAATTGCTCTATACCGTTCCTGACCAGCTGTATCCCATATCTGAGCTTTCACTGTTTTTCCTTCAACCTAAAAAAAAATAGAAATAAAAATAGAATAAAAACAATGTAAACAAATCGTATGAATAATCCTATTTTTTCCGATGTAAAAATTCCCTCATTGCAGCAAATCATCAATCGACTATTATATACAAAGTTACGTCACTCTGCAAACGCAAAAATTACTATAAAACTCATTCCCTCATTCCTTAACTAAATATTTTGAGTATTTCATAATCGTAATATTGAAAATTAGTGAACCAAAAGGAATGCATCTAGTAACACAATTCATATCAATATCAATTTTAATTTAACAATTAGCGAATTTAGCAAAAATTCAATTTGAATTGAATTTTCAGTTGAATTTTCAGCAATCAATCAAGCGAATATTTACTAAAAAAATGAATATCTGTGATTTCGAAATTGCTAAATTCCTCTAATACAATTTTGTATGGTATTTCTTCTGAAGAGAGAATAAAAAATTCTAGAATTGGCTAAACTAGTTACCACTATCACCGAAAATTTATCATCCTTGGAAATTGAATAAATTTCTTAAATTTTTTAACAAAAACAAAACAAAAACAAAAAAAGGATTAAAGTGCTTAAAACCTACGAAATAAAATCTAATTCCTTTTTCACCTCTATTCTACTTCTTTCAATTATTTTCTTTCAACAACATGAAAATGATTAACCTGAATACTCCTTGTGGCAAATTCAACACCTATTGTTGATTTCGATTCAAGATTGAATTCATTCCGAGTGAATCGTGATAGTAAATTCGATTTCCCAACACCAGAATCACCAATTAAAACTACTAGAAATTATATACCCTATTATATAAAAAAAATATGTTACACGCTCCAGATCAATGAATCCAAAAAAAAGCTAAGTAGAGAATAAATAAAGACCGGAAAAAGAAAAGCAAACCTTTAAACAAATAATCATATTCATCATCACGAGAACCCATATTTATATCTAAATATAAATATATTTATTTATGAAGAAATTTACAAAAAAGAGAAATGAAAATTTCTCTTAAGCGTATTTTATATTCATAAAACAATAATATTTGGGTAACAATAAATTCATAAAAAATGGATCTTTGCAAAAAAAAATAAAAAGGTAATCAATAAAATCAAAGACAAAAAAATGACAATGACTTTTAGATAAGCGAAAATTAAATTCAATAATTATATGTATAATTAATCATTAATTAAAACAAAATACAGCTAGCAAATTCTCTAATAAACCTTTTTATTTTCACCTTTTTAATTATATATAATTATATAAATTTCTTCCAAATGAATCAAATGAATCTGCGTTGGAAGATTTTATATTAAACTTAATTTTTTCTTTTTTATTTTTTGCGTGCATTTCACAGTTTTTTAGGAACGATTTCGCATTAAAATAGAGAACAAAAACGTGTAAAACAAAATAATAAAACGTGAAAATGATTGATTTAAATTAACACAGTAAATTTATAAATATTACGCATTTCCTCCAAATTTTTGACGTAAAAAATATTCAAATTTATAATTTCTACTCACTTGCATAATTAAAAAAATTATTTTTATATTTATTTATGAATTTATTTTTTTCTTAGCTTATTTGGAATTCATTCAATTTCAAATTCTTATTGCAAACAAACACAAATAGTAAAAACTTTTAATGTACTAGTAAACTAACTTCTCATTCCCAACAAAACATGGAACAAAGTGGTACGAAACCAACCAACCCACCAGGACAAATGAAAAATCAATGATTTGCAATACAGAACGAAAACGGTCATAATAGACGCAAATGCGACCGCAACGCATCGTTGAAGTAAGCAGTTGAATCCTACAACGAAAACACATTCTCGTAACAGCACAACAGCGGGAAATTGAAGTTGATTTGTGATATGAAGTACCATTTCCTCCTTTCTGCTTCTTATAATCCCTTATAGCATTGATAAGATGGAAGGAAATTAACGAAATGAGAAAACTAATGAGAAATGCAATTCTCAATACGCTTTAATTAGCAATTATAAATAGATAAAAGACAACTGTGAATGAATCATAATTAAACTATTGATGAGCGATGATTACAGTGAATATGCCACTTTAAAATTAATTTTTTTTTCACGACAGAACAAAGCATCCAGTAAGTTTACTACCAGGCAAAATGACAAAAAATGGCAAAAAATGGCAAAAATGGCAAACGGCAAATGGCAAAAAAACGAAAAAAAATATAGAAACATTAAAAGATTTGAAAAACAAGGAAATAAGTGGGAGATAAGAGGAAGATAAATTGTATGAAAGCTAAAACAAAATAAAAACAAAATAACAAAACGGAAAGCTAATGTAAGAATATAAGAATATTTTGAGAGGAAAAATTTAGAGGCTCGATGATAATTCAAAGTTGAAGAAGGATGTGATAATGAAAGAGCCAAATTATTCCCAGTCAACGGCATAAACAGTGCGGCGTTCGCGAAATGTTGAACAACTCGTAAAACAGTCGACAAATGCCAATTTTCTTCCTTCATTTATCGTATTTTTCTCCTAATGACTCGCACGCTAATTAGTTGGTTTCCACTGGCTAGGGTAAAGCGATTCTAAGCCTCTTAGTTCCATACTTTATCTCTCTCCACTATCCAGAATAGCTGGACCATATACAGCTGAACCGTAGGACCATTTTGACATCACATCATCATCACAATGCTTCGCATATAGCGAAATATGATTCCAGCGATGGATAATACGATATGAACACCTGGAGAACAGCACATGATAATGCCCCTGTACGCAAGAAGAAGGAGAATCGACCCCTCACACCAATCACAAATAACATTAACCTAAACCCCTTTTCCCTCTATTCGAGCCAAAAAAGCAAATAGAACTAACACCAAACAGCAATGTGAAACTTTTCCATACTGCGGCTGAGAAGTGAAAAAAGTCGGTTTCAGACTCGACTTCAAACGATTAAATGGGCATCTTCGATCGATTGAAGAATATAGACCGAAGCTGCAAAGTAGTTAAATAATGTTAAAAGTTAGAGGTGAAAGTAGAAGTAGTTTTAATGATTTTAGAAGAATTTAGTTCGGCTTTAAATTTCGTTAGTTTTTTCTTTTTTTATCGAAATTTTATAAATTTAAAATTTTAGTGATTTCCATCAGTGAAAATAGTTCGTCGAAAGAAGAGATCGAAGAGAGAGCAAAGAAAAATTTAGAAATGGCGGGCATCAACTCGAATCCGTTTGCTGTTCGTTTTATATTTATTTATTTTTTTTATTTATTCTAAAAATCATATAAATATAGTATAAATAAATATAAATAGAATGTATAAACAATAATATATAAATAAGTGATATATAAGTGACCTTTGACCCCAGCGAATCTTTTATTTTTAGATTTAATCAATTATATTTATTTTTTTATTATATTTTTATTTATTATTTTAATATTAATAGTTTATTGTGCGTTTAATAGAATATTATGTAATTGCTGGCATATAGTCGTCAAGTAATATGTTATTTCAGCTGAGGTCAAGCATTATGCGTTCGCTTCCTGTTGACGGAAGTTTTAATAAAAGTGAAAAACCCAGATGGTGCTATGGACCTGCATGTCCTCGATTGTCCTTGTCTCTAGCGATAGTATTTCATTCTAATAGGCCGAATGATGAATACATTTAGAAGAGGAAACTATTATGCATCGTCCTAGCCAGTTAGAATAGCCTTAGAAAGCACATAAATATTTAGACTGCTAAGATATGCTTAATACAAGTTTAAATTCGAATTTCATAGAAGAAATGGTTTCTTTCATATAGTAAGTGCAAGTGAATCCTCGGCACCATCTGGATTTATTAAGAGGTTTTCTTCCATAATTGGTCGGTAATCGAATCTGTGGTAGCCGAAGCAACATATAATAATTTTGTTATAATCTATTTGCAAATATTTCTGTGAACCGTGTATATCGATTAGGTAAGGAAATTCTTGAGAAACACTATAAAATTATTGAGTTCTCTATGAAAATTTTTTTTTTTTTAAGATGACTTAATCAATATTAATTTTCCGAAATATTATATCATTTGTTTTCTCATTCATCTCTAAATGAAATAGAGTTTTTTTATTTATTTATTCGTTAGCAGTTGATATAAAGTTATCGATCAATATATGCTAGTTGATCTGTATTATTCTTTATTGATATCATTATCATTTATTTCTTTTTTCACTGCCTTATGTTAGCGTATCGTATCTTCATTTCTTCTTTTTCGTATTCTGAAAGCTATGCTATTGCGCATCGCCATTTCTGATTGGTTGCATTAGCTACTTTTTATTGTTGTTCTTAAATTTAGCTTAAGTTACTTCTTATTCTACTATATAAACCTATATATTTGGTCACCTCTTATTACTCGTGGCAATTTGGTTTTATTCTTTGGACTTTTCACTTAACCTTTCACTTTTTCAGTCGTAAGACATTTCATACAGCCATAAATGCAAGTGTATATGTATTGCTCGACGAAGAACGAAACCTAAATAGCATATGCGACAAGTTGTATGACTTGAGGAAAGTGGAAAATGTGAGCTTCTTTGCGCACGACGTAGATTGTGCCTTAGCCATAAATGATTAAAAGATATTTCTTTATATCCATTCATGGACCATATTTCTCAGTCATACTGAAGTATAGTGTGTATACCGCGGCTAGATCGATATATAAATGTTTTAAGGCTAATCTTATGGAGATTCCAAAAAATTTTCACTCTGTGTTTATATTTGTTGTCGCATTTGCTTAAGGATTATGTTAATTATTTGCCACTTGATCAGAAACATATTTCTTCTGAATATTTGAACATTTAGCGTCATTTTTTTTATCTAGTGAGATTGAAATTTTTTTGGTGTATTAACATACAACTCAAAGATATTTGCAGAAATAATAAGTTGTTGGCCTTCGTATGGTTTTGCTTAGTTTATTTGTTAGATATATTGCTTTTTGAAGGTTAATTTTGTTTTTTTAAAGGATCCAAGCGTAAAACAAGCAGCAACAGTTGATAATGTTACTGATCCGAATGAAGATTTCAATCCATTCGCGCAAAACGCTAGACACAACCTGCAATCTGCACCTGTTTCTGGGGTATCTTTTTATTTGGTTATGATTATTTAATTTATTGAACAGATTGAACAGATTCATTTCATCACATTGAAAAAAGATTAACATTGGGCATTATTTAAGTATTATGTATATTTATTTACCTATATTTTCGTGATTTACTTTGATTATCTTTCCTTTTATTTTCATAATTTTATTATATAACTTTATTATATAATTTTTCTTGATTACATTGATTTCTTATGTAGTCATCCGCATTTGGTGGTAATACAATGAGCAATGATGAATTATTTCGGCGTCAAGAAGAATTAGAAAAGAAGGCACAGGAACTGAAAAGAAGAGAACAAGAATTAGAACGACAACAACGAGCTGCTGCTGGAGGAGGTGGTACTCTTCCACGTCCTCATAATTGGCCACCTCTACCATCTTTCATTCCTGTTGAACCTTGCTTTTATCAGGTTTAAACATTTTCTTCTTCTATCAGATTAGTTTTTCTGAAATTGCCTGAAAATTTATAATTTATAATTCATCTGATTTTACAGTATCTGTAAATGCAATTTTCACATCTCATACATGCCATATTATTTAAATTTGTTGATAGAAATCATTGGTTTTCTTTAATTTTCAGGATATTGATGTGGAAATTCCAGTACAATTCCAAAGCACTGTTCGCTTTGTTTATTATGTGTTCTTAACATATGTTTTAGCCTTATGCATCAATTTAATCGCATCATTACTTTATATGCTATTTGCCCAAGGGCCTATTGGGATTTTTTTCATCGCAGTCGTTCAGTTAATACTTTTCACTCCATGTTCATTTTTATTTTGGTTTCGCCCAGTTTATAAGGCATTCAGGTTTGTTTTTAATGAATATGGTTCATTATTATCTGGATTCTTTTTTGTCTAGCGAATATTAATATTCCTTTGTAATTCAAAAATAACTTACTTTCATTTGCTTTATGAATCATGCAAAATATTTCAAATGTGCATTGTTTTCAGTTGTGCAAAAACATTGTTTTTAAAAAAAAATTAATTTGTGTATGAAATTCGACATTTTTATGCAAAAATTACTTATTATTTCAGGAATGACAGCTCCTTTAACTTCATGGTTTTCTTCTTTGTTCTATTTATACATACTATTTTTGTACTTATACAAGCACTTGGGTTATCGTCGTATGGCTGTGGATGGGCACTTGCTGTCGAAACGTTCAGGTATCTTGAAATTTCGAAAATTGTGGAAATATTTTCAGAAATGAAATGAACGTAAAAAACTATACTTATCTTTTACAGTTTTGTATAACGTTTACAATTTTCAGTACGAATATTTTTATTGCACTTCTCATGGTTATTTCGGCAGTTGCACTTAGTGCTGCATTTGCTGGTATGGTGTTAGCCCTGATAAAGGTTCATAGATTATATCGTGGTGCTGGATTTAGCATCGATAAAGCACGGAAAGAATTTTCAGATGGCGTTATGGCTGATCGACATGTGCAGCAGGTATTACATTTCTCTTTTGAAGAGTGCCGTTTTTTTTGAATTTTCTAATGATCAATTTAAATCGATTTTTTAAGATAATTCTTTATGTTATTTCTTTCTCAGTAGTGATAAAGCAAATTAACGAATTTAAAGCTTTAATATTGTTTGAAAGGATTGTTTATTGTTTTTGTGAATTTTCATTCTTCTTCCTTTGAGTTTTTTTTCACTTTACCCTTTTAGTTTTTTAAGGCTGCATCTGGTGCTGCACGTGCTGCAGCAACGCATGTTGCTAATCAAGCGATGAGCCAAGCCACTCAAGGAAGATATTGATATGGCATTATTTATTAAGGGAAATCATTTCATCAATATCTATGTCGAGAAAGTTTCTGTTCTTTACATTGAAAATTTCTTCATCCAAGGAAGTCTAGTTGAAAAAAGTCATTTCCTGTTATTTTTAACTAACAAATTGATAGATTTTAATTTTGGAATATAGGGCTGAAACATTATTTGAAAGGAATAAAATTGTTTTTCGAGCAAATGTTTTAAAAATACTTATGGTGTTGGTAATGGTTGATGTTTTAATGTTTAATCCATTTGATCCATTATTTCTTTCTTAAAATATTTTTGTTCACATATAATTTATAATTTATGAATATCTTTAAATTGAGAATGATTGGGCTGAAATTTATCTAAAACGAAAGAAATGGTTTAATTTTTTTTTTAGCATTAAAATTCAAATGATTTCGTCATTTCAATGTTCAGTCCATAATTTTTTAGTTTTTTAATGCAGTTTTTAATATTTTTAATTAAATATTATATATGGTTTCGTTTTTTTTTTAATATCTGATTATTTAATCATTTTATTTTTTTTTGCATATTTCAGTTGTCGTGTTCAGTTGTTTCTAAATGAATTTCATTTGTCTTTTATTTTGGGTTCATCGAATTTTCCTATGCTATGCCATATATTTTTTAATCTTTAACGATTTTTTATAAGGAAATTTTTTTTATTCTGCTTGCTTTTTCATTAATGGAATTTTTTTGCCGTATTTATTTTACTCCCTTTTTTTTCCTTCTTAGGTAAAACAAAAGCTTTAATGGTTTAATCGAAAATCTTGTTTCTAATATCGAAAAGAAATTTTCCCAATATTTTTTTTTTTCAGATTTATTTCATTATTTTACTTTTGCAAGGAATCATGCAAATTTAAAAATTGATGAAATAAAAGCAAAATTTCTTTTGCTTCAAAAAAATATTTTATTTTTGCAAGGAATCATGCAAATTTAAAAATTGATGAAATAAAAGCAAAATTTCTTTTGCTTCAAGAAAATATTTTTGTGGAAAAATTTTATATGGTTCATTTTCGCATAAATCGATTAGAGTGGCAGAAATCTAAGAAATTGCAATTTTTGTCATTTTTAATTGCTAAAATATTCAATTTTTATTTTATTTATGCTTCATTTTTTTTCCAGATTTATTTATTTGAAATTTGGATTTTTATCGAAATTTCTTTTTATTGACATTTTTCCTTTGGAGGAAATAAATAGTTTATTGTTTGGTGCTTCAAATGTTTTGTTTTTTTACTTCTACTTTAGATAATTCTATCGAAATTTTGGTATTCATTTTGGATTATGGGTAATAACGTAAACTATTTTATACGGTGCTGTCCAATAATTTACGTAGGTAGGTGTCTCTTCTCTGCTTATCAGTAAATCAGTGATATGATAAAATGCTGTAAAATGATTGGAAACATATGGATGCGGTCATTTTATATGATCGTTTTGGAAGCATTTTATAAAACGAATTTAAATAAATATAAATATAAATCTCCAAAAAATTTAAAGTTTTGTATAGGGAAATATTGACGAGCGCGTGTGATAAGCGCATTTTAATAATCATTTTGAAATTAACATATTAACAATTAACAATTAACAGTTTTATTAACAATTTTCTACTGGTAGTCGTGCAAGAAGCGGTGTAGGGGGAGGTGTAATACTTGGATCCTATTTTGTGTTAATTTAGAATCCATTAAAAAATCGTACTGGTGCTTATAATTCACCTATATTAATTTGGTGTGGTGCGTATATCATTTGTACTCCAAATTACTTTAATTATTTTAATAATGAAGATTTGCAGCGAGGTAGCCAAAAATGATAAATACTAGCTTATCATTAAATAACTAATAGTTTTGCATTATTTTAGAAGCTAATGATTATTTTCTAATCCTTGTTGGTTTTTTTTGGTGATTTTTGATAATTAGCATTCTATAAAGGACTATTTCCATTCTTATCACTCGCATTATATTCTTTATAGAGTTAATCAGAATTTAATGGATAATGTTTAAGAAGAAAGAAGTCATGAAGTTGTGCCTATGTATAAAAATTGATATTTGCTGATATGCTAAAATTTGGACCACAATCCACTCGGTTATCCTATCCTTTTAAAAATATAAGTGTAAATAAAATATAAAGATTACGTGAGTATAAATAGATTTTTTAAAGATCACTTTGGTTAGTAAAGAGTTAGGTGAATTTTTATCCAAAAACTAAAACTGTGATAAGTCAGAGTCTTCGTTAGTTAGGATACGTTCTCCGTTGCCTACCACAGGAGTTGGCACATATTTCGTCACTTGCTAAACTCTGTGACGTAGTCAAAGGCGAGGAGGACCAGTCAAGACCTGGACTGAAGACCTAGACAGGAAAGATTTTGAACGTATAGGAGGACTAGCGATATATGGACTTAGACGATGGAAGGAAAAAGGAATGGCTTCTGTTACTGCTAGCGTTGACATCGGACTGGGCGGCTTGGAGATGTCTTATTCTTATAGTCAGCGGAACCAGTCTAACGGGTAATGTTAGAAGAAGAAGAAGAAGAATTGTGATAAGTATATGTGGATGATAAGAGAATCAATTCGTAATCTTTGAATTAACTGAAAGAATTTTTGGCTGATTCATCATTATTCATAATTTTCTCTCTTCATTTGATATTTCATGAAAATTTCATTTTTCCTGATTATAATGGAGAAATCATTTTGCCATTTAATTAATTAATATTATATGAATGTCAAATTTGCAAGTGATAAAGTGTCTTTATCTAAAAATATATATCATTTCTAATTAATCCAGCTCGACTCGCTTGCTAGTACAGTTAAATTTTGTCGGATGGCCGTGATAGAAGGCCAACATTCCTTGGTTTATAAATTTTTAATTTATAATAACCAAATATACAAAAATTTTTTAAAAAATTTTAATTTCAACTGGAAATATAAAAAATATCCCAAATTTTTTTTTTTTGCAGCAATTATTTCAGTAAATTTCAGTAAATCTAAAATTTGCAAGTTTGATATGAAATCAAGGTCTTCTAATTTTTTAAAAACCAAACTTATCTTATAAAAACTCACATTTTCATTATTTCTCGAAATGACGAATAATTAGTATATTAACAGTTAACAATAGTAGTTATTTATATTTTATTATCACTGATATGAATTAAAATTACTTTAAATTCTCGTTCACCGCAATTAATTCAATGTACATTGAAACATTTAAAAATATTAGAAAAATACTGAATAATAATTATAAAAATAATAATTATAATTATTATAAAAAGGTTATTCGATTTAATGAGATATTCGCAAAATAGAAATATAAATTATTTAAATTAATGAGGCTATAAATCAATTAAAGAATACAAAGATTTGATTTTACGATTTTAAAAAAATTTATTGCAAAAATTATGAAAATTACTAATTTGCTTAATAATCATTAATTATTATAAGACTATATGTTTAATTTTTATATTTTTGTAAATTATTATATTTAACTTTGAATTTTTAACTATTTCACTGCTTAAAGAAAGTATATTTCAATAAACATTAAATAAAATATACAATAACCACAATATTAGTATTAAACATTAATATTATAATATTTATAATATTTAATGTTTATTTATGTATTTCCTGATAAGAACTGAAATTCCTTTACGTTCCGGCTGACCACTAAAAATCCATTGTCAGCGTAAACCGAATAAAAACCATCCATTTATCCATTTTTTTGCTGAATTTCTCTGAAAAATATATTTTATTAATTATATTTTATTTTCGTAACGCATCTTTTTTCGGAGGCTTCAGTTTTGATTTTAGAATTTCACACTGATTTTAGAATTGCAGTTTATTTTAATAAGAATGGTTAGTTTTGGGCTTTGGGCTTCGGTTTTGTAATTGTAATTGTTTCTTTAATTTTAGTTTTGAAAATTTAATTTTGGTCGAATTAAGAGATTTTGAAGTATTGTTTAAGTATTTGAATTCTATGGTAGTTGTTTTACCTTCTAGTAAACCTTTGGATTTGAATTGAAATTATGGAAGTATGTTGGGTATGATTTTGTTTTTTCAGGGCTTTTGTTGAATTTTTTTTATTCTAATGACAGTTTGTTGGCCTTTAATAGGGTTCAGTATGATACTAATTATGGTTGATTATATTGTAGATTTTTCATTTTAATGGAGGTAGGAGGTAGGTTGTTTTTTGTTTTTCTTTATTTGCATTTTTCTTTAAGTGATTTTTTAATAATAGGTATCGTCTTTCATGGGTTTAGTTAGGTCATATTTCTATCATTATTATTGTTATTTTAGAGGCTTTTATGAGTTATATTTTGGTGTGGGTTCAAATGAGTTTTTGGGCTTATGTTGTTTTTTCTAGATTCCTCAGATTCCTTAATGTGGTACCTTTTTATGGTTATGAGTTGGTTTTATGGGTTTGAGGAGGTTTTAGTATATATACGATATGATGAGCTCAATTAAAGCAATTCTCAAAATAGCATAAATCATACCTAAAGAACCGAAAATCTCCTTCTTACCAGTCAAATACAAATTACTCAATATCAAAATCAAAGTATAATCCTCAGGATGACCAAAAAGCCAAAACAAATAAATTAAAGGATTACCTCCACTGTCAGAAGCACAAAAAAGTATTAAAAATATGATATACTTGAAGGAGGATAAACGGCCCAACTAGTAGCACAAAAACTATCTAGCAAACAAGCAGACAAAATTAGCATCAAAGGTACTGGTATCAGCCAATAACTCAAATTATTCAAACGAGGAAAACTCATTAGGAGCACCCAATATGATAGATACATCCAGTTACCAAAACTACTAATTAAACCACTAGGCATCGCCATAAAAAAAATTATCATATTAATGATAAATACATCATTATAATATAACATCATTATACAACTGACTTCTACCTTAAAAAAACCAGGCTTACACAACTTCGCACGAATCGAAATAAGCAAACCAGCATCAACCATACCAAACCAAAAATAGAATACAACGAACCAATATCCTCACGATTCATTCTCTCAAACCAAACATTACCATTAATAATGAAAGAAAAGAACTCTCAAGAACTAACCAACGAAAATAGTCCATGCAAATACATTAGATGGTTTTGAACGCATCTCTATCTGAATGGTTTCACATCATAATCCGTGTAATCAGTGTTATCACTGGTACGTTTTATGGTTTATTCAACACCTTCCTCTAACCATTGATTAATCCACAATCAAACTGAAACCGGAACCCAAATTTAACATGAAAGCTTAAAACTTATTTTCTATTATGCTATTTCCTTCCTTCTATAACTTCTATAGCCTTTTTTTGTTAACTAATATTTTTTGGGACTAACATTACTCTAGCATTTTTTACTAGCAGAATTACAGACTCTTCTGCTCACTAATATTTTTTAGCAAATTTTTTGTTATTAATCTATTTCCAGGCGTTTTTTCACTGTCGCTTTTCTTAGTCTCACTTTTGGTATTCTCACTTTTATGGAGGAATGGAGTAATGCATTTTCCTTTTTTTTTGCTTTTAATATTGGTTTTACTTCCATTTCCTTTAAATAATTTCACAAATATCATACTTTACAAAAATATTTTATAAAATTGTCATAAATTTATTGTCGCTATTATGTCGCTTCATCACCGATTATCGCTCTTTTGTCGTTCATTATCGCTCTTTTGTCGCTCCATTATTTTCAAATGTAAAATAGGGAAATAGCAAGTAATATGAAAGTAAAATAGAAATATATCCCCGTGGTGGGCGATGGAAAACATTTCCTAGCCAGCGAATACTGTATAACAGTTCTTTTAATGTGATATATGAGCGAAAATGGATGTCAGATTTCCACCTGTGCTTAATTGTGACCCCTAAATTAAAAAATTTTATCACTGCACTTACGCTTATCATTTTCATATTTTCATATTTTTTTCTTTTATTCATTAAATTATCATTGCTCTTATATCATTGCTCTACAAGTTATATGAAATATGCAATAGTGGATCATTGTCTTCTCATCACAGTTCCTTAGTTATCAATAATGTCGATATAACTGGCGGTGCAATCACTCGATATCGAATTTATTTTTGAAATTCGAAAGTTTTATTTGGAAGAAGCACCGCTAATATCGGTAACAATGGCCTTCTTATTACTAATTTTGCCCCTTTGATGCGTAAAAAAAATGGGAAACAAAGGAAAGGAAAAAAATTTAAATATTCTCGCTCACTTCTGAGGTTTTGAAAACAAGATCATGAAAAATATGTTTTCTAATAAATATTTCTAATAGAATTATCATGAAAAATCCCTCTAAACTTTCATAACCAACAGTGGTATCTGGAAATTCAGCACCAGCATCAAGTAAATCATAGAGCCAACATTTATGCGTGCAAAATTCTAAGCCATTTTCTTTTTATTATCAATATTATATTATAAATTTTAAATTAATTAAATATTATTAATATTTTAAATATTATAAAATTTAAATTTTTAATCACTGTTACAATTATTATTTTAATAACTTTTTATTATTTCTAATATTATTACGATAATAATAAATAATATTCATTAAATGGTTCCTGGAGTCGTGGCAATTTTCCGATTTTTTTTGATATAGTAGTGTTATAACAAATAATGGAAGAAAATGTTTATAAATTTTTGAAAAAAAGTTTAAACTGAAAAAACATTGAACATAAAACTGAAAAATTTTCGGCAAATTTTTGTAGGGATAAAAATAACGTATTGAACGAAAAATTAACAAAACAATTTTTGAAATGCAAAATATTTTTAATTTTAGAGAAAATTCTAACGACAAACGATTCGAGAATAACTATTCGTCTATATTAATGTGAAAAAATATATGTCACCTGTAGTGTAATTATAAAAAAAATCGACCGAACCTAATACCTCGACACCTTCTTGGAAATAACTAAAGCCACTTTTCTTCCACCAGATAACGTACCATTGATGCCCCTATGCGTTCAAAATGCGTTCCCGGGCTGTTCATGTGTTTGATTAGCCCTCCTTGCTTTTGAAACTATCCATCACGTAGCTTGGAAAACATGGAGAAGATAGACGACAAATCAGCAAAGGCTCACGTATTTAATAGCGACATTAATATAAATAGTATCTGAATTATAGGCTATTGAACTATTATTGTTTTATTAAAGCAACAAAAATTAAAAATTCGTCACAAAAAAAACAAACAGGAAGATATGAAAATAATCTAATTGTATTTTCACAAAATCCATCAAAAGAATTCAATAAAATTATTAATCAGGAGAAACTGTAAATGATAAATTTTATTATAAAAAATCTAAAAAAATATTACAAATAATAAAAAATGGCAAATGGCCCTAAGAATAATTACAGTCCTGTGAAAATCCTTAATGTGGGAAAACGGTGAGAAAAGATTTTGAACGTATAGGTGGACCAGCAATATATGGACTTAGACGATGGAAAAAGGAATGGCTTCTATTATTGTCGATGAAGGCATCAGACCGCGCCACTTGGAAACCTTACCTTTTACCTTTGTAGCCATTAAAGCCAGCCTGATCAGTAATGGCGAGAGCTGTTAGAAGAAGAAGAAGTAATATCGATGGCTTTTTTTTCTAGCTACTGCTTTTGGCTAAATGTTGCTCTAACATTTTTTAGCTTTTGCGCTTACTCTTTCTTGCTCTAACTTTTCTAGCATTCTCTCTTAAATCTCATTTTCCATCAATTTCTGTTGGAAAATATTTTTCACGAAATGACACATCGATTTGATTCGAATACGAGCCATTACCGATTGTCAGTGGCAATTTAATGGAATTTATTTCATAGAATGTCAATTAAATCAATGAAGTTATGGTCTTTAATGCGAGCTGTTAAGCTGTTAATGCGCCTCTTCATTCGAGGTGATGTAATATAACATTTATAATAATTTTATATAATTTTAAAAAATTTTTTCAATTTTAAATTTTTTCTTGCTTTTTGCATACGTCTGTTCGACTGATAAAAACTGTTCTCTTCGGCACAATTTTTTAAATATATTTTAAAATATTTTAATATGTAAGTGTATATAATAATTATAATTGTACGTCAGTGAAATATATTTCATTCTTATTATTATATTAATAAATTTGCAATTGGTTATAATAAATTATATTGATCAATTCATCGAAATTTGTTCTTAACAAAAGATCCACGCGGATTCACCGAAAAAATAATCAGATTTGCTAAATGCACCTAAAAAATTTAAGGGATTTGTTTCGCTTATCGTTCAACAAATTAAAAAAAATATTCGAAATTAAAATTTAAAATTAAAATATTCGAAATTTTTTTTCGAAAAATTAAAAAGGTAATTGAAAAATCTTTGTATATTTTTGGTTTATGTTTGACGAAAAAATTCTACCCAAAACTCTCGTTTGAATACGATTGTTTGATTAGTTTTTAAAAATCGCAGATATTTACACTTTATCTTATCACAAAAAATAGTTATAATGTAAATAAATGCTTTACCGTGTTATTTCGCTGAATTCATTGTTGATAATGATATACTTCGCATGCGGGATTCTTTTATTTGTCCCATACAGCGCGAACGCTATGGCTGATGAAGTGATTAAAGTTTGCAATAAAGCCGTTCCAAATGGAGCAGCGGCAATGGTACAGCGTCCAACTATAACCGGGTGCTCTGATTCAAACTCAGCATGCTTCGCTATATTTACATTGAATACACCCGATGTAACACTTCGAGATCAACTGAATCCGTGAGAGTCTTTTTGAGTATTGCTAATCGCTTGAACGAAGAAAAAAATTTTGGAATTATTTTGAATACTTCAACTTTATAGTTTGGTTCGACTTGTCAGAGACAAACGACTTGTGATCAATAAATTAATGTTTTCATTTTAGCACAGCAGACTACAAAGTAAGCGCAAAGTGCCACCAAGCTGCATTAACAGGATTTGCAGAAGAATTTTGTCCACGGACGTGCGCAAGATGCTGCAAAACGAAGGAATACAATTGCAACAATAGTTAGTTATAGGAAAAATGAAATTTTTTTCTTAATTTATGTAATTGCTGGTTTGATTAGCTATAACATGGAGATTTCCGAGACTCTCGATTGGATCACCGATATAATCCGAATCTTTCCTCACCAAATCAAGTCATAAAGAACAAAACATGGTTCAAAAATGCAATGATTTGAAAATTTTCTGAAAACGGTTAAACTTTATATAGCCGTTCAAAAAAGCTTTTTTTTCAATAAAATTTTTTTCTTTAGCTGGACCATGCGAAAGTTTTACGGAATTGCTTTGCCGCGAACCTCGGTTGTATGACATAGCGCTCCAAAGATGTGCACATACCTGTGGACTTTGTAATAGACCTGGAGCAGGTGGAGGATGTCCAGACACCATTAAGGGATGTGAAGGATTCGCAGCGTTTTGTGCTGACAGCAATATTAGAAGATTATGCCAAAAAACATGCTTCTCACGAGATTGCCTTACCAATTTAACAAGTGGGCTATTGAAATTATTATCGAAGGTCGATAGGATAAAAAAATTTAATTGTCATAAAAAATGTTGCATTCAGAAAGCACCATTTAGCGCCATCCAAAATTCCAAAAGTTGTTTTATTATCATACATTCTGAGGAGGATTCATGCAGTTCACGAAAGCACGTTATCACTCAAAAATTCCAAAAAATTTTTAATTGTTGAAAATTAATAGAAATTTATATTTTAAAAAATGGTGAAAAGATGAACCAATACTATTTTTAATAATAAATATTCACATCACTAAAGCTTCACGCTCAAAATCATTGCCTAAAAATAGTTCTATTTATAGCGGTATCGCCTGCTGGAAGCTGTCGTGATGAGCATGCCGACTGTCCAAAACATCGTAATCTTTGCAATGTAGGCGAATATGGAACTCGCATGCGGGTTCAATGCAGGATGACCTGCGGTTTATGCTGATAACTTGAGAAAGAGCTAGGAAAATTTTTTTTCTCCCTTTCGAATAAATGTTTTCTGTTAAAAATTGAAGGCAAACACACTAGTTGAACTTTTCTCAATGCAAATTTTCAATTATTTTTACTGTTTATTTAATGAAAAGCAACCATGAAGGGTGGCAATCGCTGTGTGCTCGTATTAATAACAACAGATAAAATAGGAAATATTGAAAACTAATGATAAAAAATATTTATAAAATAATTCTTATATAAATGAAAATGAATTATTCTTTTCATATTCATAGTTGATAGATATAATTCTAGTTTAATTTCATTAAACAGAAATTACTGTTTTTGATAATTATATTGCAAACGAATTTAAACAAATTATGAATCTAATTAAATTCGTTTCCTTATTCTAATTTTTCTAAAAATGGAATGGCTTCCAAAAAAATGACTATATCAATATGACTAAATATTGGAAGAAGATGCTTATAAATTTTTGGAAAAATGTTTAGAAAAAATATCGACTATAAAACTAAAAAATTTTCAGCAAATTTTCTTATGGATAAAATTAAATTGCATATTAAACGACAAATTAACAAATCAATTTTTAAAATCTAATTTTAGGGAAAATTCTAACGACAGACGATTTGAGAATAGTGGCATAATAAGATTATAATCCATAATAAGATTATAATCCCGTGCATAATAAGATTATAATCCATAAATCATCCATGAAATTTCAGATACTAATATCATTATTGCTGATATTGCCGTTATCATTGAAATAATCTATTAATAAAACCATTAGTCTATTAGTCTATTAGTCTAATTCTATTAGTCTACATTGCCACATTAATTCCAAAAAGACTGACTTTAAATGTTTATAATAAAGAATTTATAAAGACGAATTATATAAATAATGAGAATTCCTATAGAAAATACCTTTATTATTCCATATTTCCATTTTTATTTGCGAAAATTCGGCTTTCTTTCCATTTAATTTTGCTATTCAATAGAATTTGGAAAAAAAACGATTTTATGAGAATTTTTCGTGAATTATGAAGTCATCTAAAAACGAAAAATGACAGAATTTCTCAAATATTTGAGCACATTATCAATTAATTTACAGAAATATCATGGAAGATATGACGAAAATCGAGAAATGGAGAATGGCAAAATTTACTGCGAGCAGATAAACAAAACACTATGTTTAGCAGTCAGTTAATACTGCAAAGGATGTCCAGAATGGACATAGAGCACTATTAAAGCTTCTGAAGAACTTGTTCAGTTAGAAACTTTAAAATGTAAGG